TCATCGTACACATCCATGGCCAGCTCCTCAAATAAATGATTACTGAGCTGCACGAACATAAGGAAGTCACGCTTAGTTGTATGAAAAGAAGAGGTATTTAAAAACATCTCTAATGTCAAAACACTTACAGACTGCAGTTTCCTCTTTGCTGCTTTTGCAAGTTCAGTTAGATCTGAACTGCTGCAAACAGAAAATAATGTTTATTATGTGTGTTTTCTTCTTTTTTTTTTACATTTGCATCATCATGCATGTCGTTTCCTGAGCTATACTTACATGTTTCTAATCCGTCAAAAGGCAGCAAATAAACAAAGATCAAATGCATCATTTAAATTTAAAAAGCACATTAAATGTTAAGCAGTGAAGTTTTCTGATTCTCTGCTTGTCTTAAATCTGAGGGTTTTTTTGTATGACAACATAATAATTCACTTAAATTACCCCAACTCTTACAGGTCTGATTCATTTAAACCAGATAAAAACACTGCAGAGAGATCATAATATTTCACTCTAACTTGGCAAATTCTTCCTTACCTGTCAGCCAACTGTGGAACAATGAAGTGATCGTTGTTTTTATGTTCTGGAAAATAAATAAAAAAATACTGGCTTTATGACAAAGTAATCAACACTTGTAGCAAAACACTCTAGGAAGCATTTACAGCTCTAAGACTCTTACAACRAACAGACAGTGTGCAATTTGTTTTATCTCCAATTAGATACTGCATACCTGGTTTTCTCCCATACAGGTAAAAGGCCAGTCGATCAGTGAGCTCATACTGAATCTCCACCAGTCTATCTGCCAGGTCATGGTGACCAGCTTCTCTGAAAACACAGAAGCACAATTTAACACCTCAAAAGCACAAATTATGGACTCAGATCTTTTAAGAGGGGCTTAATGTGTTCAGAAGTCCGAAAACTTACCTCGCATGATCAATGGGAGTTTTTCCACTGCTGTCTAAAGCTCCAGGATCTGCCCCATAAACCGACAATAACTCAGCCTGAAATATTTGTCCTTCCTTTGCGGCTACATGCAGCGGAAAGTTTCCTTTTTCCTGGCCGAGGCAATGATTGACAAGACAAGAAGCGGTGAGATAAAATCAGCACAAAAACAACGCAAACAAAATAAACAAGCATATTGTTTTAAAACAGATTTCAGTCTTACAGGGTGAAAAAAATTTGCTTGCGCTCCCAGGGACAGTAACCTCAAACACGTCTCCAGGTTCCCTGTGCGGACACTCGAGTGAAGTTGCTGAAAAATAAATATTGCGATAAAATAAAATAAAAGCTTCTTTTTTTAAGAAAGAGGAAGCTGTTTTTATGCGACATAAAAAAGGATGTAACCTTATGAAGCAGCGGTTTCTCCTCACCTTACTTAAATCCTTTGCTGTGGAGCTGTCATCCTCCCGACACGGCATGCGATGGACAAACGCTAGCATTTGATATTTGGCTCTTATAAACTCTGATTTGATTGGACTATAAGAACCGACACGACATAAATAGAATTCAAACAAAACACATTTTTAGTCACATTATCGCATTTAACAACAAAACTCTACTGTGTGTCCAAAACATAACGTCTCACTGAAGTTTGTCCTGAGGGTTGGGTTTGCGTTTCCCACTCATCACAGAGGAAGGGTCCAGGAGTGAGTGCTCCCATATTGAATTTGCACCATTGTTGTATAAAGTGTGAACCATCTAGACATAAAGAAAAACACAACGATTTCATGGAGCACATGCAGCAAAACTAAACACAACTCTTTTTCACAAAGAGGCGTTAAACCTGCAGCTGCGTCGGAGGCCATGGCATACGCGTCAGGTGACGGACTTGGGAGCTGTGTCGGCCAAGACTTCGATGAACGCTGCAGCACTCATCACAGATCAACACCCCCCTGTTGACTGAGGCCCAGCGAGGCTCTGAGACACAGGAGAAAACTACAACGTCAATGTCAAAACTCTCGCAGTCAAGAAATATCACTGACATAAATCGAGGTGTGAGAAGAGATGAGAACAGTCTGCTCAAATCTAGTTGCAACCCCCATTTAAATAAAGCCGTTTTAACAGCAGATTGAGATTAAGCCATGCAGTGTGACAAAAAAAGAGTGCAAAAAGGAAGTGAGGACCAGCAGAGGTGGAAGCACGCTCTACACAAGCTGCTTCCTCTTTTTAAAAACAGCGTAAAGACGGCAGATAAAAGCGAAATGCTTGAGCTGCACACAAAGATGATTCATTGCATCTGTGACCAAAATAAAAMCATATGCTGGACGTATTTACCACACTTTATCTAACCCAGATGTTACAAAGGGTCTTCTACTACTGTCTCCTCGTGTGAAGCAAAACTCTGACACCAACGCCTCGAGACTAAGCTCAGATGACCCTCACGCAGCTGGTGAACCGTTTAGCAGATAGGGTGTCTGGCTCTGAAAAAGGATGAACACTGRAGTCTGTGAATGTCTAAAGAGCAGCTGAGGTGCAGGAGGAACAGCTGCAGGGGAGACTTTGTCTGCCCGGTCTCCTGTTTTATAAATCTCTCCACCAAGACCTGCTGACGTGCCTCTTCGATGCTTTCATCAACAAGAGCTACAAAATTTGATACCGCATCTTGAAACTCTAAAAATATTAACGCCTAACAACTGGTGCCCACCATATTGGGCAGAGGAAGGATTCCAGACCAGCTCCTGAAAAAACTTTAGGGTTAACTAATCTGAACGGTAKAAAAAAATACCATATTTTAAGCTTTTCCTTCTCGCCATTTAACAATAATGACCAAAGAGACTGCTCACATGTGAGAAAGTTTAAAAATAAACTATAGGTGTTATTTTTATTACAACGTAACAAGAAGGTAATACATTGTGACGACACAATAGCTGAAGAATTCATCTGTAATGAGTGTATGCAGCCTCGGCATCCTGTTTGGCTTCCTGTGCCTGCTAAAAGAGAACACCACATCAATTCTGCTTTTACTGTAAATGACACTTTAAACTTTTTCTTTTGACACAGTCCAGTGGATATTCCTTCATCGTACACAGAACCATTTCTTTTTTGTACTAAAGTTTCAAATCTCTGCAAAAATCAGCTGGGAACTCTGTGTAAGAAGGATTGATAGTCTGATTTCAGATAGGAAACACAGATGTCCTCAGCAATAAATCTGATGAAGAACTGCATCACAATCAATTTTCTTGGTGCTTTAAGTTAAACAGATATCTGTTAGTGAATGGAAGTGCTGTCTTTATGGTTCTGCTGAATTTACACGTTGTCACCACCTTTACTTTTCATGAATGATGCAGTCATTATAAAGAAACCTCCGATTGTCAGATATTTTAGAATCAAATGTTTACAAATTAGATGAAATACTAAAAAGTACTTCTCCTGAGACACTGTAACACTGACAATCAGTCAAAACAACACCCACATGCACGAGCTATTGAAGACAGAAACATTTAACTGATTAACGATTTAACAAGATAAATAAATAGTAAATGATTTTACCTGGAGCACTGCAGTCTGCGCAGACCTCAGTGTTTCGCAGACGTTTGGACATCCTAAACTTGTGGCAAAACGTCTCTTTTTTTAAAAGGTGTTAAATAATATTTCCTCTAAGATAACCATTTACACACTGTCGGTGGTGTGGAGACGCCTTCCGCGTTAGCTACACTTAGCTAGTAAAAACAAATGAAAACATCGACTAGCCTTAGAGTTCGGCTGGCGCTTGCTTCATGGCCAGTAATAACATTACCTCTCGGGACTCAACACAAGCTGTTTCCCTAAATTAAAGCTGACTGGGCACCCACCTGCCCCACTAACTAGCCCACGCTTGTGCGGTAGTTTACAGACAGTCTGTGGTAGACAGCTGCTGCTGTGACCTATTAACTTGAGTTAGTGCGCCCGAAGTAAAGACTGTCAGGAAAACAAAGCTGCAGGTCTAATCTTTTCATTAGAAATAACGCTTCTCGAAAAAACCTTGATGTGTGAACAACTAAGGTTTAGGTGTTGAACTTTTACAGTCTCTTCTACAAATAAGATGAATAAAAGGCAACACATGCAACCTGTCAGGCAATACCGAGAGTAATAAATATGTTATAAATAGAGGCACAGGAGGGGCGTTTGATTTATTCACCCTGAGACACACGGTGCAGCAGGACAGTTTTACAGCAAATGATCTAGAACTTGCTATAGATTTACATCCTTTGGATGTCATTGAAAACAATAACAATAAAACATCTCTGTCCTGTTAATTAAAAACACAAAAGGGAATATTTAGCCGCATGGTTGAATTTTAAGCCAATTTGAGGCCGAGTCTCGCAACAAGGGATTGCATGGTTACCTGACACCTGCTGAAAATTAAGAAGTGCAGTAGTTAATGCTCATTTTAATGGCAACTGTGACATGTTTTATTAGTTGCGGCAGAATTGTCACGTAGCTATCTGATATTCTAAGAACTCTACAGAGGCGCAAATCAAGAAATGCACAATGACCATATTACAAAATGATTAAACAAAGAAGCAAAATGTTCAGCTAAACACATCAAATAAACTTGTCTCAAGAGAATAAAACAAGGAAGAAGCAAAATCACAATAAGAATATTGCTAATAATCTCAAATGATTACACACAAAACAACCACAGCTACAACAAAACAACATTTTTTGTGTTGGTCACAGTTTCTATAATAATAATAATAATAATAATAATAATAATAATAATAATAATAATAATAATAGAGCATGCAGGGGGTACGGCTTCTTATTTTCAACATCCCTCCACAGCACGTAAAAGCGTCGGCGATACCACTATGTCAAAGTCAAAACACAATTTTTATTTTTATATGGGAACACATAAAGTAGATTTTGTTGTTGTTTTTTCATAGTGTAACTACATTATTCAAATATTCAATAGACTTGAGTTTTATTTAGGCTCAGTTTATTGCTTTATAACATTTAGCTAGGTTTTTATTCTCCCCCATGCTAACATGAAAAATGGTTTTGTCCGTACTGGAATTGACTATTCATTAAATATAAAAACAAAGGGTGTTCGCTGCTAATTTAGTTTCTGTTTCGTCTTAATCTAAAATAGGAACATTTACGCATAAATTGACAGTCGTTTTCTAAGCGTTTGCAGCTTTATCTGAAAGGTAACATTAAAACGTGAATGTGTCCGTATGTAGGACACCCCTGTCGTTTTTAGGCTCTGTTCCTGGGACTTCCTTGTTCAAAAGTTTTATTTAGGCGAAGGCTTCAAAGGCGAAAGTTGACCGCTGGGTTGTTTGTTTCCTCCTCGACTCTGTTGTCAACAGTTAGAACGAGGATTATGTGTTGCACATTTAGTTGTAACTAGCTTGTAGCAGCCGCAGCTTGATGGATGAACGTGTCAGAGGCTGTCAACAGTGAAAGAGGAAGATGTCCACGGCTAATATTAGCGAACACATCCGAGAGAAGTTTCCCCTGCACGCCGCAGTTTGGGGGAATGATTACAGGAAACTGGAAGAGGAATTAAGATTACCACAGGTTGGTAACAAAACAGAACAAATGGACTATGTATCTAATTTACACCGTTATGTTTTGGTATCTAAATAAAACGGGAGTAGCTGTGTGGTAGTTCAAAGTAGGCCAGTGGTGTTGACAGATGCTTTGCTGTCACAACCATTGCTTTATTATCTGTTTTAATGTAATTGCTTGATTGTTTATTACCAGCTTTGGAAGAGTAAGCAACAAAAGTGACGATCAAACTGATTGGTTTCTAGTTTAAAGGCACACAGTGCAGCTACATAATATGGTGTTATTACTGAAAAACCTTTAAAATGGTATATTAAAGAAAACGGGAACCTTTATTGTATAAGTATTGTGAAAACTGAGGTGTTTACATACTAATAAATGATAAATCTGTGTATTTTTTTCATAACTTGGCGTTCACAAACTAATCGATACTAACAGGTTAATAAAATAGTTACCATAAAATTCAAATTATAATATAATAATAATATCTGACTTAATTTTTGTACCAGTCAGTCAATAGAAATCAACATAATCTATGATAAAATAACAATGACACATTAAAACTGCTTAATTCTTTGAATGTATTAAGATGTTGATGTTGTTTATGACGTTTTAAACGTTGAACAACTGTTACAGTGTGGTTGGCATGAATCACCAATGATTAACACAACAATTGCAGGGTGACTCGTGAACCAAACATGATGCTCATGGACTGCAGTGGTCCAGTGTCAACATCAGCAAAGACTTAAATGATAGCTTGAAGAAGTGTTGTAAGGCATCCTTCAGTTACAAGGCTTCCACAAAATGCACACTTGTGAGAACTGAAAGAGTTGTTTTTTATTTGTATACTTATAAATATATATGTTTTTATTCTCTCAGAATGAAATCGAAGCCGTGGACCCCAGAGGTCGGACCGCTTTGCACCTGGCTGTGTCGCTCGGACACCTAGAGTCTGTGAGAGTCCTCCTGAGACATGGGGCTCAAGTGACTAAAGAAAACGGCAACAACTGGACAGGTTAGCGTTAAAATAGAACCATTATTATCGTTTCAAATTCTCTTTCAAATAGGTGTCTTACATCATTTCCTGGGTTATTTAATCAATTATCATTATCATCTTCATTTGTTTTTAAATGGGATTTCTAATTGACGCATCACACACTCAGTAAAACCTTTATCCTCATGGTGAGGTTTTCTAATGGACAACTGCAAACACCCAGGGAATAAATGCCGTTCCTTTAGAAGGTTTGGTGGTTTCTTTTACACTTGTTTGTGTTTTGTGTAGTGCTGCAGGAAGCAGTCAGCACCGGAGATCCAGAGATGGTTCACTTAGTGCTTCAACGTAGAGACTACCTCAAAGCCTCCACTGCGCTGGGAGGAGTGCCTGAGCTGCTGCTGAAGATCCGAGAGGTTTTTCATTCAGATGTTCTCATCATTACTGGATATGTGAGCCTGGAAATGTTTCATTGAGAATAACATTTGATCTGTTTTTATTTATCCCCAGTCTCCTGACTTTTACATGGAAATGAAGTGGGAATTTACCAGCTGGAGTAAGTTTATTTTATGAACACTAGGCCTGTGTGTATGATGACACGATGATTTAGGCTGATTATCTACAAGTTAGGATTTTAAAGTGCTTCAGTAGTGAAGAGTCTCACAAAAAAATCCTTTGCTGGTTGAGATGTCATCAGGTCATACAGGCTGAACTGCATACCCTCCTGTTGTTTTGGTTTGTTTATAACTAACATTGTTTTCATTGGTGGGGTTTGATTTTCCTATTTTTTTTCCCTTTCTGCTATGCTGTTGCTTCACAGTCCCTCTCCTGTCTCGAGTTTGTCCGAGCGATGTGTGTCGCATTTGGAAAAGTGGCGCCTGCCTGCGAGTAGATGCCACTCTCCTCGGCTTTGAAAACATGACCTGGATCAGAGGCCGGAGGAGTTACATCTTCAGAGGAGACGGTTTGCATTTGTCTTTTGAGTCGGAACGCAGAAATCACTCCCCCAGGCTCTTGTTTGTGTTTGTGTAAAAGGGCCACATGTGTTCTGATAGATTCGTGTGCCGAGCTGATCGAGGTGAACCACGACGACAAAGTCGTTGACATCGAACGCTTCAACATATCTCAAGAAATGGAAGACGTCACGTTGGAGTCGATGCAGCCAGCTGAACAGGAAGTTGCCAAAAGGTTGACCACACCGATTGTCAACACCTATTTGGACACAAAGAATATCGCTTTTGAAAGGCAAGAATATATTTCTCTATATATACGCTTCTTTAAAATCAGTTCTCCCATGGAGAGTTGTTTTTTAAATTATACAGCAGGGCAATGCTTCACAAAGTTGGGGTCGGGACCCAAAGTGGGGTCCCGAAATATCAAGGTGGGGTCCTGAAAAAGATTTTCTGAATTAATTACGTTTTTGCCTTAGTTGTTACAAAGCGTTGGGTTAGTATATTTAAAATGGATAAATGTAGTATAAAAATATTGTTACTATGCCCATGTTTTGTTGACCTGATACAAATGTTTATCATCCAAAAAATAGTTGGGG